ACGGATAAAAATACACACGTGTATCACCCCAGACAAACCAAGATTTAGTGAAATACGAATTCAGTAAGTCTATTCCACATAAGAAACACTGCAGAAGTCTAATTCACCCTCTTACCTGCTGTAAAAGGAAGTCTTCCCCTGTGCTCTCACCTGTGAAGAAGTGTTTATCAAATACATTAAATCCAACCTCACAGGCAGCAGACAGCGTTGTTTTGTAAAGCACAGACTAATGATGGGGCCCAGGCCCAGGTAAGAAGGTTATATTTGGATTAATCGTTAAAGATTTCAGTAGACACTCTGGATGACCTTTAAAAATCCACACTGACTAAGGAAAAATGTTTTAGAGATTCAGCTCGTGGCATTAATCTGAGTATTTTGAGGAAATATTTTCTAAAATTTTTTTGAGAAAACATAATAAACCAGGAACTTAAATTTTATGTAGTTATTTTTCTAAATAAACTTCCTGTAGAAGTTCTCAAATTTACTGTGCTTCCGCATTCCCATGAACAGCGGCCGCAAGAGCAGCGATTACCCCCAGAGTACGTACCTGCGCAGGAGGCGACTGGCACGTATCACAGACATCATGCAGTTTGGAAACCTCTGCCTTAGCAAATATTTTCAACCTAACCAGCCTCTGTGAGCGATGGCATTAATGAAAACCAAGCATTTAACAATTACTTGGAAAACCAGCCAACTGTGCCGTACGTTAGGCGTGTTGCTGGATGCCAAGGATAGTGATGCTTCACCAAAGTGATTACAAGAACCTCTACGTCCTTGTGCCGTGTTCCAGTATTTTTTAATGTCATTAAAAACAGACCAACAAACTTGTGCGATCCTAACAGCGGATGAGCAGCTTAAGAGCAATCTCAGTGCATTTCAGTGCAGTATCTGCCCGTCCCCAAAGGTTCTTTAAGGTGGGACCGCTCAGTACTTTGGCTTCTTCACACACAACCGTGAGACAATGCTTGGATATCTTAATTACATTAAGGTCACTGTGACTCTCTGATTCAAAAACTATTTATCTCAATGAGGAAAGCAGCAAAAAGAAGTAGAGAATCAAGACAACCTTCCCTAAGAAAGATGTTTGCCTGCCAGTTACGTGGCTGTGGAGCTCAAGAGCTGCATTAAGACCTGTAGTTCTTCTGGCTGTTTAGACAGCAATCAGTATACTATTTTTTTTTTCCATATTTCTTTATTAGAACGTTTGGGAGCAGGTCCTGAACACTCTTTGCTGCCTACATGAACCAGTCATTCACAGGCAGAGTGTACTACCAATTACCTGGTGAAATCAGCTGGTGAAGACTCCTGAGGCAAATTACAGCTGGAAATACTCAAGTCTCGTAATTTAGCAAAAGTTTTAAAGAAGAAAACCAAACTAAGCACCACCACCACCACCACCCCAAATCAGGAGTTCTTTATATAAAGGAGGTTATATGTCCTTCTGCTCTCAAAGAAAAATAAAAGGAAAAAAACCCAAACCCTAAACCCAATACAGCCTAAGAACCAACCAACCTTAAGGAGATTTTTGATTTCACAAAACCTTGAAGCAGGTCACACTGGGGGGATTTGTGATGTCATCTGAAATGGGAAACAGACAGCTGCAGCATAAAAACTGTAGCACAGCAGAAATACTGTTTAAATATGCCTTTCAGTACATTTAAAACACGTTTGGCAACACGACCAAATGCTGTGATACCATCAAACATTTTGGACCTGGGATGAGCTGTGGGCTTTCTCTTCTTTCTTTTTTCACAAGGCCTTTAGTTCTCTACATCACCTCCTGCCATGCCATCCAAAATATCCTATGAAGGAGGCTGCAAGGTAGAACCTGCGGGTGTTTTCTTGCTGCTGTTGTCGACAGAAAAGGCAGTTGAGACCCTCTCCTTAGCCCTTCCTTTCCCTCGGTCCACGCACCTGAAGTCTAGCTTTGCCACTCTGCAAAGTGCTGACATCTCACCCAAAACGATGAAGCTCAACTTCCACCCTCTGCACTGCTGAAGCGCAGAAATCGTGTGAGTAGTGCTGTGCTTGGCCGCTGGTGAAGGGAGATCCCAAGCCAGAGGCACAGCATGGTAAGACAGCACAGAACGCGACTGGCCACGAGAAGAGGGGCAAGATGTACCATGGACACTGATGTATTGCTGTATCAACCCCTAATAATGCTAGTTTCCTCTTAAATTAGATGTAGGATGCTACTATTCTTCTTGATAAACAGTTGTTTCAACTATATTCACAAATGGAATATTGTGCCCTAAGATATAGGTAGTTTGGAGTTGTCCCTATATATTTATCAAGTACAAGCTAACCCCAGTGAGTCGTTGTACTACTGAAACCTGAGAGGAAAGCAACTATTTGCTAATGGCACCAGGAATTACTAGGAGGAGTACGTAACTGTGTGTGTTAGTGTATCAGTCTCAGAAATCCCCGCATATAGCGAGCTGTGTGTGCACGCAGTGACAAGAGAGGTTATCCTCCCCCTCTGCTCTGCGCTGGTGAGGCCTCACCTGGAGTACTGTGTCCAGTTCTGGGCTCCTCAGTTCAAGAAGGACAAGGAACTACTGGAGAGGGCCCAGCGCAGGGCCACTGAGATGATGAAGGGCCTGGAGCACCTTCTGTATGAGGGAGAACAGAGAGCTGGGTCTGTTTAGCTTGGAGAAGAGGAGGCTGAGGGGGGATCTTATCAATGCTTATCAATATCTAAAGGATGGGTGTCAGGAGGATGGGGCCAGGCTCTTCTCAGTGGTGTCCAGTGACAGGACTTGGGGTAATGGCCATAAACTGGAAACAGAAGGTTCAACCTGAACGTGAGGAAACACTTCATCACTGCGAGGGTGACAGAGCACTGAACAGGCTGCCCAGAGAGGTGGAGGAGTCTCCTTCTCTGGAGACTTTCAAAAGCCGCCTGGACTTGTTCCTGTGTGATCTACTCCAGGTGATCCTGCTCTGGCAGGGGGGTTGGACTAGGTGATCTCTAGAGGTCCCTACCACTCTGTGACTCTGTGACAGATCTTGACCTTGCAACTTGTGCTACGCTTTTTTAACAATCCTCAGTAACTTTAAGACTTCACATAACCTTAGAAGAAAAGAAAAACAAAGTCACTTTGCATACACACACACAAACTACTCATATTACCACTTAGGGCACCACCTACCAAGGTTTTGATTGGTACTAATCAAGTACTTGGGGAATAAAAAGTGGAGTTAGAAATGTAAAACCCTATCTTTGCACTGTCAACAGAGACTTGCAGATTCAAAAGAAGTTACACACCTGTCTTCACTCCTAGATTAAAGAGTGAAGCCTTCACCATTAAAAATGTAACTCTTCACTTCTTTCTCCCCTCACCTCTAACCTGAGGGAAGTTTGAGGGCATTAGACTTTCAAGAGCAAAAGAACTCCATGATCGAGCAGGAAGGATACCAGATAGGCTACTACTGAACTTCAGAGACATACAATTTTCCAGTCCAGAAACACCCAGAGCACATGTACCAAGAATGGCAAGACTTAAAAAAAAGGAGCCTTTACAAGTACAACTGAAAATTTATTTTTCTCTTTCTGCATTGAAGTGAGTACATGTTTACACACAATGTGACAGGAAAAAAAAAAAAAGTCACCTGGATACCAACTAAGGTCGTAAGTGTATTTTTTTCCTTTGTAACAGTCCAGAATATCAGCAGGGAATGAGAAGAAAAGAAAAAACATGTAACTTCAGATGGTATATCATCCAGCACCTTCAGTTTTACTGGTGGGTTTTTTCCTTAATACAAGATTAGACCACCCCCCAACCACCCCCAAAAACCCACTCGCAGCACACTTGGCAAAAGTGCCTGAACATACCCTCCCTCCCACCCAAACATTCAGTACATTTTTAAGAACAGGCTCAGTAGCACTGTCTCTTTCGTATGACCTCAGTAACATTTTGACATGCAGCACATCCACACTGCACTCTACTCTGCTGTAAGGCTAGCTTAGACATAAGGCAAATGTTACCTTAGCTCTCAAATATCCCGTGATAAGACACCCCTAGTACATATATATATATCTCTGTTAAATGCAGAGATGCCTTGTTTCCCTTCATCGCTTTTCCTCCTGATCAAAAAAGCAACTCAGGGAGATGGTGTGCTATACTCATCACAGACTGCAAGGTACTAAAAAATTTAAAAGAAACAGCAGTGAATAAAAACAAACAGTATTCACATATCCAAAACTCATTTCCATCACTTAAATAATTTTATCTGCCATTACAAAATACATACACTTAAATAAACTTTGTAAGGAATAATCATCTAAGGTATCACAGATTATGATTTGCCTTTGCTAACCTACCTGCCCTAACTCCGGTGTAAAGATACACTTAGACAGTGTTACTACCTAGGATGTTTTCCTATTATAATTAATTTTCTTAAATATACAGTAAATTCTCTCTAGCTATTCTGACAGATAGTGCAAATAAAGACATTCTTTGGGTCACAACTTTAAAATGTTACCACCAATGCTATCCTCAATTTAATATTGTTTTAGTAAATGAGTAACAAAATATTGTTAAGTATACACATTTTCTAACACCTGTTTAGCAACGCATTTTCCTCAAGTTACCTCAGCTTAATGCAGATGACAAAAAATTAATAAGCTACAATATTGCTCACCTATCCAAAAGATATGTTATATTTCTACTTAAATAAATATATTTAGAAACCTACCTATAAGTTCCCCATTGCTTTCCATTTACTGTTATTGTCCAATGGCATAGTACATCAAATCATGATATCAAAATATCTTTAAAGACAACAAAGATCACTTCAGAAGTACTGCTCAAAGGCAATGAAATAATGCTTTGAGAACCTATGCACATAAGTTAGGCCTACATAGATCCAGCACATCGTGTAATAGAATAGTTTATGCTTCTTTTAGAGTCAACTACTGCTTTGCCCTAGCCAGAGATAAGAAGCTTATCTTAAATATTACCTATCATAGATGCAGTGACACAAAGTGGCCCTGTTTGCTATCTAATGTTGCTTGCTGGTTTTACACGTTTATTTGAGGTTACTGACACCTGATTGCTAGTTCCATTAGTGGTATTTGTTGCCGAGCCGTTCACAACGATGTAATCAACTTTGTTTTCCAGTTTCACAAGGCGCTGTAAGATGTCATCCAGAAGAACAGCAATTGTTCTCTTCAGATCAGCTGCAGATGATTGAAAAAAAATCAGTCAGATCCTACTATTTACTGTGTGTGGAAAAGAACCACTATTTCAACATAGTCACATCTTAAAACTTGCTATCCTTCCTACTATATGTTTTAAGGAAAGAGAAAAATAGAATTAAATAGCTGCTTCATTTTTATTTAATACTATTTCTTTGTTACTTTAGGCAAGGAAGATGCCACCATAATAGTGAACTGTGAACAAAGCCAATTAAATGTTTGAGTGCAAGGACAAAACTACCAGTTGGAACATTAGACTAATGATTATTCAAAGGTAGTATTTCAAATTTCATCCAGGCAACAGCACTAGAATACCCAGCTATGCCACCTTTTAGCCTCGGACAGTAACAGAATGTATTTAAATACTTTCCAGTATAGAAAAGGTAATTCTTAATAGCTTTCCTCTAAATAACAGATCTATCCCACAGAAAAACTGCTGTGAGAAAGTATCTTATCACTCCTTACATAATCCATAAAGCAAGGGAAAATCCATACAGTTAGGCCTATAATGATCGAAAAACAAGAGAAAGGAGTAAAAAAAACCTGCCACATTCTGGAACAAACAAAAAGTAACAGACCTTTCAACAAAAGCTAATTCCGGTGTTGTCAGTGCTCGTATCGCTATCTTCGCTCAGATTTGGAAAAAAAAGAACAAACTTACCAGGTTTTACAAAACTCCCCAACACAGAGAGACACACACAAACTCTTTCTTTCCCCCGCACCCTCTAATCAGTTCTTAACTAACCAGAAAAAGTGGGGAGGAAAGACACAGGTATGAAAGTAAAAAAAGGAGTAACCCAGATAGAATTAAAACACTGAAAGTAGTTAAAAAAAAAAAAATCAGGCCAGTCGCTCTCTCTAAAATTAAGTAGTCCTTGATTAGTAATGTCACCTTTGGAAAAGAAACTTTAAAGAAACGGCTTCACGGTTCGAGCCAGAGCAGGGTCTGCTGTCCATGACGCGCTGTGCGGCATGCGCTCTGCAGTACTGTTCTGTGTTCAACCCTCTGTGGGAAGGAACCATCTACTCCAGCTGCCAGTCTGATGATCAGTGTGCAGATCAAGAGCTGACTTCATTTTTTTATTAAGCTTCAGACAAAACCTCAGAAGGCAAATCTCATTTGGAAGTCAACTGTAAGACTTACACAGCAGTGGGAAGCTGCAGGACACGAGGGGGTTTTTAAAACAAATTGCATAGAAAAGTAATTACACAGTAAAGGCAGGAAATCTTTGAAGACAAAAAAAAAAAGGAGGAAAGGGGGGAAAAAGAAAAAGTAGTCTCTTTCTGTGGTAAAAATGTTGATGTAATGAATGAAAGAATTAAAGGCTAAGACATTCTGATACTGTCGTCCTCCTCTTGGGTTGCTTCCTGCTCATCATCACAGACTCACCTCCCCCTTCCTGAGCAGCAGCAAAGAGTTCAGACACAATTCTGCTGCTTGGACTCCTCTCAGAGTGCCCATAAAGGGCATCTTACAACTGGTAGAGCCCACCCTTTTAAGGATTCCTTAAGAAGAGGATCAAAGTAATTAATATAAACCTTCACACATATTTTTTCAAAATACTTCTTTTTAAGCTTGTACCACCCTTATTTTCACACATGCTTTTTTTCCTTTATGACAACATGGGTAGTTTCTTCAAACCTAATCCCTAAGGGATTATCTGCAGCTCACTGCAGCCTTCCCTCAAGAAAAGCTACGAGGGACCATAGAGTCCAAGTTATTAAGACATTTTTATAGCTTTGCTAAAAAGTTCTCAAAACCGTTGTCTCAAAACTATCTTTTCTGTATTTCAAAAGACAGGTACAGGCTCTACCAATGTATCACCAGAGCATGCTGACCACGTATTCATCAAGTTAACAGATAAATCAGAGAGATCCCACGCAGCGAGTATCAAAGCTCTAGAGACAAGGGACCTTATCTCTAATGGCTGTTTCGAAAGCAAAAGGAGATTCTGCTAATTCATAACTGCCTTGCAGTGCAAAGACTGCAAACTGAACTAGTATGTGCTTTCCACTGCTTTTTCACTACCTAAAGAGAATAAAATTAAGAAGTAAAAGCAGGAAGTTTGCAAGGAGGCACGAGAAGAATCTGCAATGTTGACATTAGTTCATTTAAAACTTCTTCCCTGTATCAAGCATGTACTCAATAGCTAAAGATTCAGAACAAGCACAGTGTTACTGTTCATCCTGTAACTAACAGTAGTCATATACCTGGAGATACCTAAAAAAATCCTGGAAACCAAGAATCTTATGCCTCAAACTTGATTTCTGCACCACATCTTAATCTTCAACTTTAGTGAATAAATTAAAATCAAATCAGTTAATGCAAAGATTTTTTTTCTCCCAAAGAGCAGTGTACATTACCTTATAAAAAAGAAAAAAAGTACAACATATTTAAATAATTAAGTACGTTTTTTTCCCCTCTTACCATATCCTGCCATGGAGGCTCCACCGCCACCATTCATTAAATTTTTATTTTCTTCTGCCAGTGCTTTGACGTATCTTTTACTTAGATCTAGTATCTGTCCACGCAACTCAGCACTGCTTTGGCGTCTTGGATACTGGAAGGTGTAGCGCAGCAACATCAAACCCCAAATGATTCCAAAAACTAGCAAAAACATACTCAGTTTCTGGGACATATTTTTTCGTGAAAGTGTAAGAAACATTTCTGATGAAGGCCACGGGTTTGTCTTAATTTCAAGATAAATAACCAAACTTGGCTTTGTTAATTAAACAAAAATAAGATTTCTCTGAAGTGAAAAATCTTCTGGCTTGATCATCTTGAACACATCTTCTCATGTTTTAGTTGGTCTTGATTCCTGAAATTTGTAAAATACCACTTGGTTATTCGAAACTGCTACAGCTACTTAGATCAGGAGCAAATACCAGTTCCCAAATGCAGTATTATTGCATTATCCAGCAAACAGGTGTAGATTTGTATCTTTCTATCCCACCTGCCAATTACGTTTCCTCTTCTTGTTTTTATCAATTTCTATTCTTCAAAAAAATCAAAACTTCTATGCTTCTACAAATCACCTTAAGTATTTTCAATATCATAATTTGAACTGGCATTAAACCCAAATGTATTTCAAACAAAATGCAGTATCTAGAAGAGACTTGTAAAACGTTCATACACATTTTGATGAGTTATACACATATATCTACACAAAAGAAAAATACCTAGTGAAATTATTCCCTTGCCTCTTATTCCTCACTTAGCAGCACAGGGCAAGTATAAACAGATAAAATGCAGAACAAAGTTTCTTAGTTGGTTAGCTCAAAGTTGGGCATCCTCATCTTCTAGTTTTGTACAGCATTAAGCCTTTTATTTTTGTTTTGGTGTCTTGCTAATAAACAAAGACATAAAGCCAAAGCGAATTGGCACACTGCATCCACTTTTAGCGTTTTACTAGCACTTTAAAACAGTCTTACCATAGCAGCCAATTCCGATCCCTCAACAGATTAAGACTTCAGGAGAAAAAACAAATGGTAAGCAAGCTTCAGCAGTTAAACAGCAAATGTCCAGACAATCTGAGGCAACATGAGCCAGACATCTTCAGGGAGCTCTGTAGTGGGGAAAAAAAGAAAAAAAAAAAAGAGAATTACAAAGAAACCTTAATTTTGGTGGAGTGGTTGAAGCTGAGGGCTTCAAGCGACATACCTGTAAAACAGGAATACGTTTTTAAACAAAATTACAAAGTGTAATACTAAAGAAACCTTAATTTTCACGTGGAGTGGTTGAAGCTGAGGGCTTCAAGCGACATACCTGTAAAACAGGAATACGTTTTTAAACCTAACAAGGCAATTGTTAGAGAACAAAGTAGAATCCATTTCCATTTTATAATAAATGTGTTATTTGAATGCTCGACAACTGATCTCAACATACTTCTCAAAGAAAAAACTTGGTAAGAAGCTCACTGAAATGTGTCCCTCTTCTTGTATTACAAGACAGTGACAGCAGATGTTCCAGATTCATCATGTATGTATATAGACATATATTTACATGTGTATCATCCTGTTATTCATTTTTCCCCCTGAAACGAAGCCAATCTTTTCAGTCTCTTTCCATGTATATATCTCATATTTCTCCTTTTTCAGCCATCTCTGAAACTTCTCCAATTATTCAATACTTTGAGAGAGAGTTTCTGTTATTTAGTCTGGATAAAAGCTGTTCATTTTACTTAATAGTTACATCTTCCCCATTGTCCCCCGTTCTTCCCCACATTACCTGGCAAGAGCACTTTTCAGATGGAAGTTAGACAAATAGGGGTCCCCACCAGATTTTCTATAGCAGTCTCTGTTTTCATTAGAATAGTGAGTTGGAATTTCTTCTTCTGCTAGGCACCCATCTAAACTTAACTCCGCCTCCACAGTATTTTTCACCGCCTCCGCTGGCCAGTTCCACCAGCCTGACGCCAACACACCATGATCTGCCACAAACACGAGTGCCCTTGCCAGCCGGGTTCTGAGCTGGGCTTCTCACTTACCCTTCACTCTTCAGATAATCCTCTCAACAGGACTGATTCAAATGGCAAATTTTCAAAGTGCTCTCAAATCAACATGGTTACCTAAGTTATTCTGAAAATACCCAGCCCAAGACAAGGGTGATGTCAGGGCCTGGATACCACAGTTCCTGTAAAGCAACAAGTTACTGGGTGTAAAATGCCCTGCGGTAACCGCCAGCATCTCACTTTCACTGTTGGGTGTGCCCATGTAAGTGGCAATCACAAGTCACTGAGTGAGGAATAGCTTACTTCGCCTTAACTGTGGGATATGGCTGTGCACAGGGACACACAGCCGACATGCAGTGGTCTGAAATCCCACTGCATTTACAGCGGGATATACTTGGTTCAAAGAATGTGCTTATCCCCCCAAAAAACTGCTTTTAGGACACAATTTGTCTTAAGTACATAAAATAGATAAAACAATAAAACCTTACATTCTACAGTATCAGCAAGAATATTTGGAATTGCGTGGTTAAAGATTTCCTGAAACAGATCCTCCCTAAACATGAGCTAACCAGAATGTCTTTTCCCTAGCTCTTTTCCAAACACATGGCTCTGCGCTCAGACTTTAAAGCATAAGCGCACCTACATCAGCATGCATCTACATAATCCCTGGAGAGTATCAAATCTGATGGAAAACATTTACACATGAGGTCCAGGAGTAGGGTATTCACATGTTGGCTCAGAGGACCAAACACTATCTCTCAAGGGGAGACCACAAGTTTCAACCCCCATTCCCAAAAGTCTACATTTTATATTATTTTTAAAAACATCTGAAAATAACAGATAGCTCTGGCAGAATTTACATTAAGTTCCACTCTCCACAGATCTCCAGCCACATCTCACCCCCAAGCATTCAGACAATGTAACTACAGAGCTCTGGAGTGGAAATAACTCTGCCACCACGCTGTAAGTAAGACCACAAGCCAGGATAAGCGTCCTAGCCAAGTGGAACAGATTGAATAAACTCCCGCCAAAGAGCAGCAG